TTCTCATATTTCCTGAAGAAACACTTGCATCCCACTTTAAGCCAAAAAATTTAAGATTTGAGTTTTTATTGTGTAATCCTCCATTAACACATTTGTATAATTATCAAACACAATATATCACTTTCGTTTCTTAAAAATTCATAAAAATTAAGATACCAGTGTCCAGTTTATCTGGGTGTCTGTTTTAAGCAGGCTCTTAGAAAACACATTAGGGAATCTGATTTTTAGGTACAAAGACATATGTTTATCTTGTCATATAAAATAGTTTTGAATGTACTGACCAAACACCACAAACAAGTGGAGAACACAAGGTTTCCATGACGACACATTTTATTGAACACCCTTAATTCACCTTAATTCACATACGAGCAGTTACATGCAGTTATCAATAAAATAGACTATCACTTTTGTACCTACAATATACAACAATGTAAGAGTGACAATGCCTTAAGTGAACAAAAGACTAATCAGTTAATGGTCATGAGCGTCTTTTCTGGAACATTGTTGACTCTGGTAATGTGCATAACATGTGGAAAAGTTCAAAGTGCTTGATTAAATTCCAACTGTTTTAAAAAGCATTACTTTCTGACAAAACTGAGAACACTTGAGTGTAATATAATTGTAAAGGAAAGACTGGTGTGGAAACTGGTATTTAATGGGTAGGCGACATGAAGGCAAAACTGGTAAGCTTTGGGTGTGACAGTTGCCTGTAGGTTGACTGTTTATTTACTTACAATGAGAGTATTTTCTTTTTCTTCCTACTTTCTACTTTTGTGGACACATTGGAGCCAAGGAGAATGTTAGCAACAAAGCAAAAATTTGCACCATGATTTTGGAAATTTCTTTTTGAACACGTTACTGTTTACATTGTTCTGTTGCTGCATTCTTCAATTTACTAAAGCCCATTTCTAATTACTTTTTAATTACAGTGTCCCCAATTTATTAACTAGTTTTTATTATTGTTAAGGATAACTGTTATTATGATCATTACCATAATTATTCTAAAGAAAAGCTCGACGATTGTTTTGCTAAAATGCGTCAACACTTTCGTCCATGATTGTAGGTGAGCCTTCACTGAGTGCTGCAGCTTTTAATCAACACATTGGATGTCGATCTCGGCGCTGGTTACTTTGGGAAATGGAAGGAACACGAGATGTAATAATTAACACTCCCGAAGGGAACAGTAAATTTTGTTTCCCGAGAATCTCAAAACATTGAGATTCTCGGGAAACAAAATTTACTGTTTCCCATGGGACCAGTCATTAAGTGATTTGTTATATAGCAAAACAAATGGGTCGAACCGGTGGAAAACACATAACCACTTTATTAACAAATGACGTGCAACGGCGGTCAACATTTCGCGGGTAACAGTGAACAGTTTCCCGTTTGACGTCATAGTTTTCGCGATGTTGCCAGCTCATGGCATTTGGCCGGAAACAGTTTCATTATTAGATGTCATGTGACCATGAACTAGCCAATGAATGGGCGTGCTGTAGCGGGAAAAACGCCGGCTATATAGCAATGTATTTTATTCGTGGAAGAACTGCACGCGCCTTTTTGTTCTAATTCCTAGCGTATGGAAGTCCCTGTGAAGTTTCGTGGGCGTACTTCTGGGGACAAAATAGATGTTCGCCGTTTTATA